CAAAATAAAATGTAGTTTATTTTTGCCAACAGTAGTGTTTAGATCAGAGTTATGGGGTAGAGTTGAACCCTGTCTGCAGCTGTAGAGGGCCTAGCTGTTTTAGATCTCCAGCAGGTGTCCCAACAAAAAAGCCAAGCAGACATCCCCTGTGGCTAATACATTCACTACTGGCAAGTACCTCAAATCACCCCATCCAAAGACAAAATAAGAAACAAACAAACAAAAGAGGGTATTCCTGTAATGAGGATCCTTTGGCTTTTTCAGACAGTCATATGTGGGCTGCAGTTTCTTAAGCTCCTGCACTGACTTTATTTTTAAACTCTGGAGGTTGCCTCTCGGGTGAAGGGCAGCAGTGGCACTGGAGGAGCAAAGAGACTGACTGAAAATCTATTAGTTTAAAAAGGCTCCTGAATGTGGAGCGTACATATGTCAAGCGATCGAGAAAATATGCATGTGAAGCGTGAAATCAGTGCTGCATGTCTGAACTAACTCACAGGTGCAGCTCTATTTAACAGACATGGGAAAATAAACATGCTCTAAACCAGACAAGCGTAACAAAGGCAGCACACATTTGAACTCAACAGCCTGATTGATATAAAGGTATGATAAAAAAAATACAGAAATTTGACAATAAAGTGTCAGTAGTATGAGATAAATGTGATCATACATCAGCTAACTTTCTATCATGTAAAACAGGTAGATTGTTTGGTAACACTTTACTTGATGCCTGTCTCTATAACGCATTACAAATATATGTATAATGCATTATAATCACATTATAGCACTGTATAACTAGTTATAAACACTCATAAATGATCATAATGCTTTATTGCAAGAATCATAACACATTATAAAGCATTTTATCATGACTTACAAGGTCAGGTATTATAATGTGTTCTGCTTATTGTATTAAAGCCTTATGATAATGAATGAGTGTTTATAATGATAGTTATACAAGTTTATAAGCAAATTATAACACATTTTAATATATGTATAATGCATTATCTATGTGGGCATTGTCAGTGAGTTGTTAACAGTTATAACACATTATAATACCTGACCTTGTAAGTCATGATAATACGCTTTATAAGGTGTTATGATTATTGCTATAAAGCATTATGATCATTTGAGTGTTTATAACTATAGTTATACAGTGCTTTAACGTGGTTATTACCAATTATACATATATTTATAATGCGTTGTAGAGATAGGCATCAAGTAAAGTGTTACCGATTGTTTTGTTAGTTTCACAGTATTTACACAGAGAATGGATTTAGAAATAATCAAACTTTTTTGCCTCTTAATGATTGTTTCCAATCAAATGTGGTTCAGTGTATGTGATATGTGATGACATACCATAAGTGACACTTTATGTCATCAAAAATGAAGATAATAACACTCATCCTGAGATGCTGTGCTAGATCAGTTGTAACGAAATTCAACAAAAAGGCGTGTGTAAAAAAAAAAAAAAGTGTGACCTAGTGTGTGTTTTTCTGATTGTGTTTGTCTTTTATTGAATTTTTCAGCTATTACTCAGTGTTAAAGAAGGAGCTGTCCATGGTTCTGACAGGCAAACAGTGACTCAGATGCGAGAGACGGATGCTGACATTGTTCGAAGCGACTGGCCTGAGACGGACATATCTGCTAATGTGAACTCATTTAAAGATGTGATAATGAATACAGAGAGGGACCCATCAGTGTTAAGTGTTACACTGAGCAGCACCTCCTCCACCTCTCTTCAGCTATACGTAGACACATACATCCCCATCTGTTGCAGCTTACAGAGAATGAAAAAAGCTTACTTACAATAGTGCTTTATTACTATATTTTGCGAGGTGCTTAGCCTTCAGCTCACATGAACAAGCGGACTGATAGTTTCAGTAGAAGAATGGTGTTCGTTTTCAATGAAAAGATAACACTTATGCTCTAATTTTCACACCAATGATTAATCTGTTTTAAAACGCATTTACATCATTCAGATGTGCAGAGGTGCCGTTTATCCTTTGGCTTAGACTTGATGCATTTACATGACAAACAGAGGGGTCAATCACTTGACATCAATCAGAATAAGCTTTGATTTAAAGGGCTAAGTAGAAAAAAATATCTGTATAAAAGGAGAACAGACTTTAAATGAGCAGTTATAGATATTTATTCAGTTATTTTTTATACGTGAACCAAAGACAACACCGCTCTGTCTTTGTCAGCCACTTTTCCTGATGAAGTATTTCCACGGGGAACTGTGCAAAATTTTCCACATGTACCATCATGTGACTTGAACTGAGTCCTTTTCAGCGTTTGGCCCGCTCCCCTTCCTCCTCCTCCTCCTCCTTCAGCTGGTGTTCTGGGGGTTTTCCCTTCCCCTGATGCTTTCTGTCCTCCAGATCTCAGTCTAATAATCTCTTTTATTCCTCTCCAAGGTCTGCCAGAATCCTCCCTCCAGGTGGGTAATCTACAGCCTCCATTCGTTATTGCAGGCAATCATCCACCAATAAAACAAAATGAATTTTATCCAAATGAAAGCCATATTTTTAGCTTTGCTTGCAGTGTGGCTTTGGGCTTGGCACTGTTGTTCTGTCAAAGATTCAGCAGCCAGTGGATACACACGTTAATGGTGCCCTGAGGATTATTCTGTGGTGCTGTGATTATCTTAAAATTGTAGTTAATGGTCAGGAGCTGAATCTCCACCCCACACACATGAGCTGTGTAAATTACTTTGAACAGGGCGATTAATATAAGGATACATATCAATTATTTTTGATGCGCATTAATTTTTTTGACAACCTATAGGCATATTGGCTAAAGTAGCTAGCTCAGCACATAGCTGTGCTGATATGGCCTGGTTGTAATGTAGATTAATGAAAGCTTGGTCAAGTTTGGCAGGACATATACTGAACTTGGGATTTCAGAAAAGACACTTTTAATAAAGGAAGGTCAACTTAGACCTTACATAACAGATTGAATAAAGCACAATGGCAGTCTTCGTGGCGTCATCCTTCGGTTTGGTTTGAGAGGTGTTATAAAGCTCAACAATAACAACCGCCATGCTAAATCAAAATAACTTTCAGTTAACCAAGAAGAGGAGTAGTTGGGGTTCTTTTGGTGGCAGGTGAGAGTTAAAATGGCGAAGGTTGGTGTAGGGAGCACATCCCAGCTGACTGTCAAGGTGTTGTGGGGCTTAACTTGACAAAGTAGAGATGACAGGAGGTCCTCATTTGATGACCCCAGGGATGAATCTCATTGCTCAGCTATCTCATTCCATCATTATGCTTGTGTGTTGGGGGATACAAGTGGCTATGTTGCAAATTGTGTAACTTATAGTTGCAAAAACATTTGTGAGAAGGTGAAGCAGTATGGATTTCTTCACTGAGTGCTTATCTTTTCATCAGAGCACAGGTACTTTGTGGTTATCTAAAATATTTTAAAGGGATATTACAGCGTAAAATTAATTTAGGGTCAAACACACTATAACACTGAGTTAGACACCACCTCAAGAGATGAATGTTGCTGACCAGTTGCTTCCCTAGTTATACCAAATTTAGTAACGACCACATGATAGCAATACACAGCACACATGGTCTATGGAACCACACACAAACTTTAACCAAAAAGCCACTCTATAGTCACAAATAATGCTCAGAACAGCACCTAACTTCATCAACAGTATATAGAGGGTCCCAGCCACAGCACTAGTCACCAAACATCTTTTTAGCTTTGCCTAATTTCTTTAGCAAAGAGACTAAACACAACTCAACTACTCTCTTCCAGCAGCCACTTGTTTGTTAAGAGACCTCGGACTACATTACGGACTACAGCGGGGTGACGCAGCTCAAGGATGAACATTTATGATCATTTCTTTATCAGTAATAATCACTATATTAATCATTTTGCACTGCAGACGCAGTAGTTCTTTTGCCTTAGCATCTCGGTCTGATTACATTTCCATGAAGAAATGAGCGGTTGGCAACATTCATCTCTCGAGGGGGTGTCTAACTTGGTGTAACGGTGTGTTTGACCCTAAATTAATTTTACGCCAGAGTATCCCTTTAAGAAGTTTTGAGTTGGCTCTGTAATACTCATCAGCTGTTCCTGCTTTCCATCACAAATGGTGTGCCTCAGGGTTCCATACTGGTACCTATGTTTTTTGTCATAGGTAGGCAATGCATAAAAATACTGCATTTCCTTTAATGCAAATGATACAGTTATCTACTGTTCATCTACAGAGAACAAATCCTTTATTTATTTTATTTTTTTCACTGGGGGGGGGGGGGGGGGGCAGTATGAACTATCTAACTGAATTGTTTGTTAAAATTTTACCATTTTGCATTTCTTCATTGTCAGTTATTGAATTCCAAATAAAAAATAATAATACACTGAGATGGAGTTTGTCTGTTTTACAGAGGTTTTGCTAATAAAATGTTATCTTGCTCTTGTGCAAGCTCAGTGAAGCATTTACTCTGTGAAATAAAGGATAAATGTTGCATTGTGGAGCTTTATGTCTTATTTGCACTCATATCAAATTAGTTGCCCCAAATTGTTCTCAAACATAATAGAGGTGAAACTCAAGATATCGCCAGTGACATACACATTGTCAGGTGACAGGCTATATCATTAGATCACCCCTCCAGAGCTTCAGACAAGACAAGACTACTTTCTTAAGCTTAGATGTCACCTCATGATCTGTACTCTCACCTTTATGTTTACATTGGCAGCTTTTGCTCTGGCACTACTCTAAGGTCAAATGTCTTATTTACACTGGTAAAGGGGATCAGAATTGCAAAGTTGCATATCATTTTTGAAAGTTTTCCAGGAGTCATGTTTATTGAAATGTAATGAGCATTGTTGTAAGGTTTGTTTTAAAATACTTTTATCCTGGTTTAGCTTTATTTTCCAAAACTGTTCATCTACCCTGTTCTTAACTTCTATAGTAGTGTCTCTTATATGTGTATCATGCATTTGCTTTGAAGAAAACAGTAGTAAGGGTAAAAATCAATGTTTTCTCTGCACTACATCTCTGTCTGTGGGTATTCAGACAACAAAAATCAAACCAGCAACCTACAGCAGACCTACAGCAACATCTGGGATTACTAGGAGCACAGCCGAACAGCAGAGCTTCAGATTTGAGCCTACAGCAGGTTTTCTTTTCTGATGGCAGATAATGAGCAAATTATGAGGATTTAGGAGTGAAATGATCATTCATTCTGGACTCCTGATGCGCAGTCAGGAGGACCAACCGTGCGTGTAGCGCTGTTTCTGAACGTCTCCTCCCCTGTTTCTGCAGTGTTACTGCTTTTTCCTTCTCGCTCATCGTTTCTTGTGCCAATGCTGCCCACCGCAAGAGTAAGACAAGACTACCATTTGCATAACCCCACACTCCTCTTTCTCGTGTGCCACCATCCCTTTGCTTGATATCCATCTTGTCCAGATCCGCGTACTGTGTGGTTTTGCGTCCGCTCGATCCCTCTCCATTCATTCACGCCTACTCTCATGTGCAGTCCTGTTTGGTTCTTTGCGTTCTTCACCTCAGACAGAAAAGCAAGGGAATTTTTTCACTCTGTCATTTTCCGGACAGTAAAACACCTTTAAAGCTCTTCATGATGTGAGTTTTGAAGAAATTCCGACTGATACATGCAGGAAGAAAGAAGACACAGTCAGTAATTTTATTTATTATTTTACGCATCAACAATCGCACGTAGCCTGGAGAGGATAAAGCTAAAAACGCATTGTGGTTTTTGAAACATAACTTAGCCGTGCGGGAGCTGTCGCCGTCACAGCACAAAGAGAAATTAAGAAGAGGAACTAATCGGACTGTGTTAAGTTTGCTGAGGTAGACTACCTGTCAGAGAAAAAAAAAATCTCGAAGAAGCACCGTGGAGAGCTACGCGTCATTTCCAAGACACCAGCGCAACAAGCCAACACCATTTCACCAGCCTGCCGTGTGAATGGCACACGGGGTGTCTCCTTCTGTTGATCTGGTGCAGGGTAGCCACGCTGTGACCAGGGTCCAGCTGAGATTCACGGCTTTCTGTGAGTATCTGTGGGACTGCTGTGCGCACCAAATGGACCAGTCTAATTGTCCCTCCTGAGCAGCCTGCTGATGGGATAATCGGCTTTTTTTCTGCATCTGTAATGTCCAATAATCGACTATCTCAGGAGCCATTTGTAACTTAACACTTTGAATTTTCTCGGGTATGCAGCAGCAGCACTGTTAAGATTAGATTTTTCACTCCAGCTGCTCAATCTACTTCCACACATACGGAATGTGGAGTGTAATCAGCTTTTAATTCTCACATGTGGGATCATGGCGGGCTAGTTTCCATGCTCATTACAGAAGTCTCTTTGGTTTTGTTGGTTTCAATTACTTGTCTTTTTTACAGAGCAATATGGAAAAATAAGTTCAGCTCCTGAGGCCACAACTTCCACCCCTGAGCTGACTCACTGACAACTGCACCTGGGTGAGTAATGCAGTTTGTTACTTTATTAGAAATATATACTCTTAAAAGTCGACATGTACCTGCATGGGCCTCTGTTTTTCTTCTTCATTTCCTCTGCTCTGAGACTCACAGCTGCATGCAAAACAGCAAAGTGCGTTTTTTTTTAATCATTTCTGCGTAATTTCTCTTTATTTATTGTACTTTTAGCTCAACAGGAGGCCTAAAGGTATCTTCCGCTAAGTTCCCGTCTTTTCTTTATTCCTTGTTTCTGCTTAATTCCTAAGTCTGTTTGTTATGTTTATGGCTTTTCATCCCCAAGGTAGTGGAAATGACATTCATGAGGAGTCTCATTGCAAATTGAAAATGTCATCATGTGAAAAAAACAACTCACATAATAAGCGCTTGCATCAAAGTGTGACTCATTATGTACAAGTGTTTACTTGCCAACCTGAGACCTCTGCTTTTCAAACAGGAACAGGATTAAGTCACCAGTATTGTATTCAGGTCATGTTTTTTTCAGAATTGGACAAACTTAGATGGTTGAAGGTTAAACCAGAAATAAAAGTGTGACTTGTAGATGTTGTAGATGGAAGATAAATGTGAGGTATAAACTAAAGACATGAAGAACAGAGGCCTTGGTATGGTCTCAGTGGTCTCAGCAAGAGGTTTGTATCCTCAAAATGTGCCTCATGAGAACACAAATCATAAGAAGCAAGGTGAAAAACTTCATCCTTGTAGCTGACTGGAAAATCACACATTCCTTGAGGAAACCCAAACAGAATAGCTGTTTTTTTTTTAAGTTCATGTACCTTGTTAGCTTGTTGCCACCTGGAGATCACAGTCAAGATTGAGAGTCACTGAACAGTGTGTGGCACCACTTACACAGATTAAAAATGTGGACACCTTTTGTCTCTAGTTTTGTCAAAGACATGTTTTACTCCTGCCTCCCAACCAGTTTGAGAGCTTGCTTTTACCATAGAAACGTCACCCACTCAAAATTTGTGCAGGGTTGAGTGCCAGATGAAAGCAACCTTATATTATTTACTGGAGGGAATCAATGAAATCACACGTCAGCGCTGTGGGAATATTTAAATCTCACTAAATGACGGGATGTGCAAAACCCTGTCCTCTTGGCTCTAGTATTAAAAGACTATTTCATCTGAAAGCTGTCAGAGCAACCATGTGAAAGGAATTTCTGAGAAGTCTTTGCTGAATGTGGATGAAGCATCCTTTGAAAAGCAGGCTGGGGGGTCACATGTTCTCCGTACCGCTGCGTTCCTCCTGCTTGTTACAAGAGCCGCTGTCCATGGTGCTGATCCTGCTGATGGTTCCCTCATTCCCCTCAGCAGACAGGTGTTGCATAAGGCTGTTGTTCTCATTGCACAAGTACAAGCTTCTAGTCTTTTATTTATAAGGGAGCAAAAAAAAAAGACAATTTGATTTCTACCTCTGTGCTGCTCACTTCACCCTGATGTGCAGTCTTGATGGAAAAAGTGCATCGCTCTCATGCAGGTCAGAGTGAAGATTGCAGCTTTTCACCACTGCATGTCAATGACAGCATGTGCTGTACATAAAGCATTGTCAAATCACTTCTGCTGAAGGTAGGCAACCTATTTTTGAGACAGAGATGGTCTTAAAATTTTAATTAGGAAGCATCAGATTACATTCCCTTGCGTTTTTTCTCCTCTTTCCCTCTGTTCACGCTGATGCAGATGTTGAATCCTCTGAGCACTACTGATGCTGGACTCACTCTCTAAATCGTTCACTTATCTGTTGATGGTTACGCTGCTGCCAAGAAGACCTCCATGAAATCATTTGAAGTTGTCCCCTGATATAGTTTTAATAGCTTACGTAAAATGGAAACAAAGGTATTTAGTATATTTAGTTCATTCGTCAAGGATTGAATAAAACATTACAGAGAGAAGTTCAGAGGTGTTTGCAACACTTCTCCTAAAATCAAAGACTGTTATCCTTTAAATAATCTTATAATGTCTTTTTTAACAGGTTTGAGCTGTAAGAACAGCTGCTCTCTTCTCGTTGTACTCATTTGTCAGTGAGGATTATTTTTGGAGCCCATCGAACTTGACTGTACACGGTGGACTGAGTCACTTTTTCCCTGAATACTACAGGTGCAAAGGGTAACATTTCCACTGATGCTTAGCACAGAGTGACCACATTACATGTGTGGGTGTCTGACAGGGTAGTTCAATACAAATGAGTCAACCATCAGTAGGTGCCAATATTTCTGGCTCTCTAAACCCGGACCTACAAAACTGTTGGATCCCACGTCATTTGCATACCAAAGAGTATGACTAGCTCTACTTCTGCGATTTTATACCTTTGCCTTGTTGAAGTTATTTCAAGAATAACGTCAAACTTGAACAATAACTCTAAAACAAAAAAAATGTAAAAATCTCCTCTTCTTCTTCTGCTTCTTCTTCCTCTTCTCCCCTTTTTTTGTTTAGACCTTCACATGTGACATTGACTGTACTCCAAAATAAGAAGACGCTAAGCAACACTGCACCACCATGTTCCTGCACAAGCGTGTCCTGAATTTCACCCTACCATGTTTCACGCCCTGCATATTCATCTCCATCCTGCTGCTGCTTCTCCCAGGAGTCACACATTTCTCCCTGGGCAGTGACACTCACAAGACGCCAGGCAACTGCTCCAGTGACGATAACTGCTCTGATGGCGTGGTGCTGCCCATGTGGAACCCCCAGAACCCTGCAGTAGGCGACAAGGTGGCCCGAGCCATTGTGTACTTCGCAGCTCTTATATACATGTTCCTGGGCATGTCCATTATCGCAGACCGCTTCATGTCTTCAATTGAGGTCATCACCTCTCAGGAGAAAGAGATCACCATCAAGAAACCCAACGGGGAGACAACCACGACCACCGTGCGCATCTGGAATGAGACGGTATCCAACTTGACACTGATGGCACTGGGCTCATCAGCACCAGAGATCCTGCTCTCAGTTATTGAAGTGGTCGGCCATAATTTTGAGGCTGGTTCTTTGGGTCCAAGCACCATTGTGGGCAGCGCTGCATTCAACATGTTCATTATCATCGCGATCTGTGTCTATGTGGTGCCTGAAAACGAAATCCGCAGGATCAAGCACCTGCGGGTGTTTTTTGTCACTGCTGCCTGGAGCATGTTCGCCTACGTCTGGCTCTATCTCATCCTGTCTGTGTTCTCCCCTGGTGTGGTGGAGGTTTGGGAGGCCATTTTGACCTTCTTCTTTTTCCCTGTCTGTGTGCTGCAAGCTTGGATTGCAGACCGGCGTCTGCTCTTCTACAAGTATGTCAACAAGCGTTATCGCGCCGACAAGACCCGGGGCATTATCATTGAGTCGGAGGGAGATGCCATGTTCACCAAAATGGACTTGGAGATGGATGGCCAGGGTGTGAACTCCCATACTCATCCCAAAGAGGCTCTGGATGGGATGCTTGAAGGAGTGGAGGAAGGTGGAGGGCTCAGTGCAGAGCAGGATCAAGAAGAAGAGGCCCGGCGAGAGATGGCTCGTACGCTGAAAGATTTAAAACAGAGGCACCCAGAGAAAGATATGGAGCAGCTGATTGAGATGGCCAACTACCAAGTGCTGGTCCAACAGCAGAAAAGCAGAGCCTTCTATCGCATTCAAGCCACACGCATGATGATCGGAGCTGGGAATATCCTGAAAAAGCACGCCGCAGATCAAGCCAGGAAAGTGGTGAGCTGCCATGAGGCAAGTGGGCAAGAGGAAGATCCCAATACCATCTACCTGCAGTTTGAACCCTCTCACTACCAGTGCTTTGAGAATTGTGGGTCACTTAAGCTGTCAGTAAGCCGGCATGGAGGAGAGAGTGGCTGCACTGTAAAGGTAAGGAGAAGTAATAACAGAAATATTAGAAATGCAGAGGGTCAATTTAAAACTACTGTAAGTGCTTGAAGCTTAAAGAGTATAAATTATTCAGGTTTCTATTGTAGCCCTGGACACTAAATGTTTAATGGAGTCTTTCTTTTATTTTACTTGCGTCACACAGGTGGACTACCGGACAGAGGATGCGACTGCCAATGCCGGCTCAGATTATGAGTTTGCTGAAGGCACGCTGGTTTTCAAGCCCGGTGAGACCACAAAAGAGTTTACTGTCGGAGTAATTGATGATGACATATTCGAAGAGGATGAGCACTTCTACGTACGCCTCAGCAATCCACGCATCGTGCACCGAGCGGAAGTCTCCGTCCTTGAGCCGAACTCCATCACCTCCAGCAACAGCACGGTAGGCCTCTCCTCTCACATTCCTCCAAAGGCGGCCCTTGGTAACGCTCACACTGCCACGGTAACAATCTACGATGACGACCACGCTGGCATCTTCACGTTTGAGAGCAACTCCACGAGGGTCAGTGAAAGCGTTGGCAACATGCAAGTGAAGGTCCACAGGACGTCTGGGGCGAGAGGGAAGGTGGCGGTTCCTTATCACACCGTTGAGGGCACCGCCAAGGCAGGAGAGGACTACGATGAGGTGTCCGGGAAGCTGGAGTTTCAGAACGATGAGACAATGTGAGTGACAGTTCCTCTTGTGTTTCGTGGTGTTTTGTTGTTGCTTCTCATTACTTGGTCAAACATCACAGCCCACATATTGGTACTTTAAACAGTCCAGCTAGATTACTGTAAATGATCTATTCTGGTGAAGCATAAAGGGACTATTTTAATGACTCACAGATACGTTCACTCGGAGAAGTTCAGATCTTCCAGAGGGTTAGCGTGGGAGGATAAGAGGATATAATTGTGAGGAAGATAATGAAACATTGTGGCTGATGTAAAAGGAGGAGAAGAAGAAGAAGACAAGGCAGAGAATCAGCTTTCTGTGAATGAATTAACATGCAGCCTTTTGGGATTTCTATGGAGGTTATACTGGAGATCAATGTAATGAACTCGCCTGCAGAGAAACAAAGAAGGTGAACAAGCAGAGGCATAAAAATCAGACAGGTGACTTCTCAGGCAGGGAGGAGGGGTGGATGGTTGATTAGTGACAGAAACAGGTGCATGCTGATGAGGCCTGTGCAATAATCTCAAGCGGAGGGATTCATGGATGCACCAGGAGAGAGATGGATAAAAAGAGCAGAGAGTGAGCGGTGAAAGTGTGATGTTTTTCCAGCTTTTCTCTTGAAAAATGTGTGGAAGCTTTGGCTGAATGATGAGTACACTTGTAGTGTTTGTTTCATGATGTGCTGAGCAAAGGACCTGGCAATTATCCACGGCTTAGAAAAAAAAAAAAAAAAAACTGTATCAAGCTTATCCCAAACTGATTTACAGCAACACCAACGGAGGAAACAAAGGAATAAAATGTGTCAGATGAATGTGTCTGTGAGGAGCATTTTCAAGGCCAGTGTGTAGGTGTATTGTGTAGGTTGGCTGAGTGGGAGGAAAGGCAGGTGAATACATGGTGTCAAAGAGAACGCAGATCTCCATATTTGTCTTTTGTTGCCTAACTGTGCAGGTGAGATTCGAAGAGATTTGTGTGTGCGTTTGTCATTTTTTATTGTTCACAGGAATTGTCATTCTCCTCTTTTTATTTTGCTTTTCTCTGCGTGCGTTTTGAAGGGTGTTCTTGTCTTAACCCCCGCGCCGAATCCACTTTAAACCCACATCAAACAAAATGTCGCTCCGAAGGGGAACTCAAAAGAGCTTCTCGAGCATCTGAAGCAATTAAAAAGAGTGAAGAGGGGTTAAAGGAGTCCCAAAAGTTCTCACCAGTGCAGAGACGGCTTCAGAAGCCGCAGTTAATGAGACAGTAGTGTGCTCCGATGTGAAATGAGAGGATGGCAGCTTGTATTTGCACTCAAATGGAGACTGAGCAGTAGATAAAATCCTCACCTCCTGAGCCAAGACTCTGTTTATCTGTCTGTAGCAAGCTGACAGTGACACAAGCATCTTATCTGGAGTCCTGCTTCCTGCTTTTGCAGCGGGAGAGGAAAGACTGTGGAGAGCAGGATCCAGCAGGGCAGGGCAGTTTGGTACCAGCAAAGCCAGTGAAAAGTAACCCCAAACGCAATGGGAAATGCCAAAGCCGTGCTCAGCTGCTCCTTTGAATGGCAAAGGAGGACTTAAAGGGGGATGTGGGAGCGCTGTGATCACAGGTAGAAAGGTTTGAGTCAGATCTTGAGCCAGAATTGCCAGGTCCAGATAGGTCAAGTCACAGCAGCATACTTATCTTTTTATCCATCTGGATTTTGGATCTTAGATACCTGTTGTTAGAAGGTTATTGGAAAGGTCAACTCTTATGTCTATTTTTCACACAAAGCGTTTATCAGAGCTTGTGAAGAGCCATTGAGCCATAGTTCCCCCAGCTGAACAGTTTTTTAAGGACCTACTTCAGAACGCTCATATTTTGCTTCTGCTTTATGCTACTCTGATGCTCGAGTCAGGATGAATTTTTTATGAGGTTGTTTAATTTGGAGCGTTGGGTCTGTCCTGTTAAAAAATGTAGGTGAAACTCCATCACTCTGTATCTTTGCATCATAATCTCAAAGTAGTTCTTGTTTTTGTGTATGTGTGTGAGTTTGTCTTATCGTAATCTGAAGCTTTACAGGTTTTTAGGTGGATATCAGGGAGATTATTAACGCCTCTTAACAGAACAGCTTGCACATGCTTTGTGTTAAATGTATTGCTGCTGCTAAGCAGGCTGCCAAAGTTCATCCTTCAAACAGAGCTGTATTTTCTTACCCGAGTGTTTCCCTGGGCGTTCAGGACAAAGAGCTGACACTTGGCAGCAGGCCTCCAGGCAGCTCTCCCTGTGTGTTTGTTACAGTGTCTCTGGCTTTGTGTACAGCTGCCTGTCCCTGTCCATGTAAGTGCATGCAGAGGAGCTAAAGGAGGACGACAAGTTTTAAAGCATTTTGACACAGAGCCAGGAGGAAATGGTTCAAAATAAAGGCATGCATGTTAAATCATAATTTAGCATCTATTCCTGCTCTGCAGTAAATAGATTCTGATGCACAGACACAAACCTTGGAGCTAAAATAAACAGAGGAGCGCTTTTGCATTCTCCGTTTATGGATTAGCAGAAGATCTGTGCAGGCCCTTTGATGCTTGTTTGTAGCTTCCTCATGTATCTGCTTTTGTTTGTTAGAGCCTCAAAATGTGTGGCACCATACACTAGTTGAGGCTGAGGTGGATAACGGGGGCAGTTGCATAAGCCAGGATGAAAGAGATGTGAGGAGATCACATCTGAAAAGAAAAATCAATACTCTGATATTCTTTATTTCTCATGCTTAATGTAGTCAGGATCCATAACATCCTGGAATTTCTGCCAAAAAACGGATAAAAGCAGAGCAGCAGATTCAGGGCCGGGAAGAGTTAACACATGTAGAAAAGTTAAAACCCTTCATGGAAATGTGAGCGGCACTGACAGGCTTCCTTTGGTTAAACGTTCATCCTCATATCCAAAGCTTAGAGCTTCTCCTTATACCTTATCCTATTGTGATCATGTTGAGCTACACTTTTTCTTTGGACATGCAAGCAACATGGTTTATGTGGGTGGATTAGCTTGCATTTGTTAGACATAAGAATGGATAAGGATTTGGTAAATTGATTTTTAGCAGCGAACACGTTCACGATCCCATGAAAACAAATTGTAACTGTTATTTCCTGACTTTTTAAACTTTTCTAGGATTGCATTTCATGGTCAAAGCCAAGACAAATAAGCAAAGTATTGGATTTATTGTATTTGGGAGCCCTTTTGGTAAAACTTTACATTTCACATCTCATCGCTTACAAGACAGAAAACATTCTCAGGGTTACTATTACAAACAAATTCATCACCATTTAAAAAATAGTATTTCACACATTTCCAGAGTCATTTTTTTTAGGTAAAAAGCTGGTGAAGCTACTGTAAGTGCTGCAAAGCTGTTTGTTGACATTCTCCTTCTTCTGAGGTGTCAAACCCAAATATGAAACACCAAAGAGTTGTGAAGTAATTTCACAGAAAATTCAACAAAAGGTAACGAAACTGGGGATATGTAGCTGTAATCAAGCCTGCTAACCAGGTTACCCAAACCCTGGACAAGGCAACCCATTTCACTGGCAAGTGGGTCTTGAACTGCTGTCAGTCTAAATGTTTTCCCATCAGTGGCAGATGAACTGACCTAACCACAGTCCTTAACAACAGAGGATCACCTCAGTGTATTTGTATAGCTTTGCTATGTGCTATCATGCCCCATGTTGCATTGTTCTGATTGGTTGTAGGTCTGTTTAATACCTTTCAGAGGAACTTTTAAGTGCAAATGTTTTTAAAGCAGTTTGTTTGGCAACAGAGGGCAACCCATGATGCACCCCAGAACTGGTGGCTGCAGCCATTTCTGCTCTGTGCTGATCTTCACCTGTTTTCTCCTCCCCGTCTCTCCTCACAGCTATCAGACTTATTTAGAATGGACCTTTTGTTTTTGTTTTTCTTGAACATGTGAGCTACGTTGAAATACGGTCAGCGGTGGCCACGCTTTGTATTAAACTAAACCGTTTTTGCACCCGGTTAAGTGAAATGTCAAGGAAAATAAGGAAAGATTTTGAATAGAATAAAACATATTTTTAACAAATTATTCCAACAGACAATTAATAAAGCCAAGAGCCAGTTTAGGATCTTCCCCATTTCCACCTCCACCCTCCAAGAGCCTGTAGGACAACTGACCTCTGCCTCTTGTCTACCCCTGTTGGCAGACTTGAATAAAATACTACCTTCCTGTGAGACCACAAGAGCACACCATCACCTCACTGTGTGAGGAGCAAAAACACCTGGATCCACATATAACATAGATGTATTTCCAAGTGATGGTGGAGATGTGAGTCAACCTCCAGCTGTGTCCCTGAATCTACACCGACAATGTAATTGTAATGCAACAAGATGACACTGTTTAATAGGGGTGGGAGATAAAAATCGGTTCACATAAGTATCACAATTTTTGGTTTTACAATTTTTAAATTTATTTTTTTGTTCAAAAATCTTTTGAACATGAAGAATAGACCTAAAACACTGACTTACATGTGATGTGTACTTTTTGGGGAAATGTGGTTCCTGGAATAGTCAGTAGACAATCATAATCATTCAACTATTTCAGTGGTGTTAAAAATGAAGACAAAAAATCAAGAACATCGTAGAATCACAATTTAAATCTTGTAGAAGTATCGAATCAGGAGAAAAGCGTATCGTCCCAGCCCTACTACTTAACTTAGGTTAGCATAGCTCAATCAAACCTGTACCAAATTTAACCCTGTTTCCACCTGGTATGACAATTATTAGCATCTGGACTCATTATCTGGAGAAGGAAATTGCTTTTTAATACAAGGTGTCAATACACTGTGGTGATCTGAATGTGATTAGCTTGGCCTCGTCATATGGAGGCACTCTGTCCCACATGGTACGGCCAAATGGGTGTAAACCAAATTCACAGGATGTTCTAGGGTCTGTGTAAACCTCGTCATTCTGTTCTCACCTCCATGCTCAGGTTTTCCCTGCAGAATAGAGATCAGATCTCACTGAGGATAATGAGAGCACACCAAACTTTGAGGTGTATATGCAAAGGGCAAGATAAGATTGCTTGCTGTCCGGGGAACAAGCTCAGATACAGCTCAGATTTAATACTGGCTGTAAATGGGGTGTTCAAACCAGGGAAGTTGAAATGAGCAGCTACGTGACTGTCCCACAAGCAGCTCTGAAGCAGCTTTAATCTGGTTGAGTTATATTTTGAATTTCTCCTCATCTCACTGGTCTCCCCCGGCGCTCATTAGTTCAGATATCATTAAGAAGCCCTACTGCATACTGCTGCCCCACACAAGTACCAGTACAATCTGAGGAAGAGTCATACATCATCATCAATGTCAAAGACCTTTAGTTTCCATATAAATAATCTATGCATAATAACCCAACAACACATTGTGTTGATAAAGGCTCATTTATCTGCTCCAGATATGCAGAATATATTTCCTCCTGATGACATTGCTCATATTCAGCCGCAGTGCTGTTTCTCTGGAGCTGATAGAGATTCAGTATCTTGCTCAAGGACACTTCAGTAAGGCCGACACATGCTGACTCTCTGGTTTTGTCCGAGATTCTTTAACTGAGTGGCAGTGCCCCGTTCAGTCATGGACATTTGACATACTGTCATGCATTTATGCATTCAGTCAGTCATTCACCCTTCTGCCTTCATTTTTCTCTCAGGAGGGCTGGAGTCTATCCCAGCATGCAGAGTGTAGAGAGCACAGATACTCTCCCAGGGTGAACACACAGGCATAAAATCACTCACACTCATACCTGTAGGCAGTCTGGAGTCTCCATCCTCATAACTTACAGCACTCAGTGTGTGTGTGTGTGTGTGTGTGTGTGTGTGTGTGTGTGTGTGTGTGTGTGTGTGTGTGTGTGTCTTCTTGCTGTGGGAGGAAACCAGAGCATCCTTACCAGACCAACGCAGAATGTGGAGGAGAGGGAAACTCCAAATAAAGAAGGTTACACAGCAGCCTGGTCCTTCTTTTCAGAGCCAAACCATGCACAGTCCCTGACTGATGATCCTCTTACACAGCCGCAATTTATCCAATTTATCCAAGTTTTCCTATTCAATTAAGTTAGAGACAAAAAATACACTTTTTTAAGGCAAGGCAGCCCAGAAGAGGAAAATCAATGAGAAAGAGCTCTGGCACTTTCTACATTTTTACTAGGACATATTCAAAGGAACAGCGAGAGTGTCTGCAGTCCACAGTGAATTCACTAATGCTGCAGAGATTAGGGTTGTTTCAAGTGGAACACAGATCAATCTTCTGAGCTCAGACGATACAGTCCTTCGAATATGAGTGTGACAGATACAATGATACTCAATATGACTTCTCAGAAACTGCCCCGGCTGATGGGCAGATACAGCGCTGGTACACAGTATGAAATGTGATTTGCAATAACAGAGGGCTGTACTGCCTTGATACAATCCGAGTGTGCCTATTGTAATGAGAGTTTACATCGACCTGCAGAAATACAGGGCCTGGGGAGCTGGGGAGAATTGTTTTACTTTACTTGATTATCTGATTCAAGGTGTAACAAAATGAAATTCAAATGCAGGGACAAACTTGAGAAAACACAGCTATGTAACTCATACATTTGTTTACAGTTGTTTTAGAGGACAGAAAGACACTTTCTGGAAGCATGCTAATTTGCAGAGAAAGCATTTTGTGAGAGCCAAAGAAAGAGTCTCAGTCCATAACTCACAGAGAAGAAAAGCACATTTTTTTTTATTTACAGTTTTACTCATTATACTGTGAGTCTGCTTTAGTTTCGCTGATGAGTACATTTTTAGATAAGCTAACTTTACCACCTGCTTCTACCAAGCTAACCAAATACTACCTTCAGCTTATGTAGCACAGACTGACATGTTAGCTTAGGTGGGTAGGTGGTTAGGTAGCGTTTGTTAGCTCATAATTTACAGTCTTCACTTCAAAAATCAAGTTCTTTTTCTACACCATAACACCATAACACTCTACATGTTATGGCTTCAAGACTAATTTCACCTGATAAGACCCCATGACAAAACCTGTGATGATAGTTTTAGCTAGTAGCAGCACGAGCAGCTGACCCAGGAGATTGTTAAAATGCAAAATCTGAGATACCAGAGGATGCCAACCAGTCAGCACTTCACTGTAAATGCTAAAACATACACGATCTGTATTGAGCACGTCATCAGTGCCGTGTATCATGCGGCAAATAGGTTGCCATTCTAATCAATGCAGCATCGCATACAGGACGCGCATCAGCTCCATCGCAGCTCGGTATCAGAAGCGTATGAAGTGCAGCACTGCTAAAGATACACGACGAGTCTTTTTTTGCTGTAAGAGAATTTTTTTTCAAATAGAGAAAGAAATTCAACAACTTTTAAAAGTTTTCATCTGTACAATTTTAACACAACAGCATTGCTCTTCTTTGTGACGTGACAAGTTTTGTTATGGTGGTTTCCCTTCTTGTATTACTTGATTGGCCCAGTTTTCATCCCTTAAGAGAATGTAGACCTTGTTTCAAGTGCTTGTAGCAGGGCTTTAAGAAGTTCATCATGGTAGATGTATGGAAAAGCATCCCTTGTACTAAGTTGGTTTCATATTTCTCCACCCAACTCGCTGCCAAACTGAGACACCGGGTGACAAGTGTGTAAAGAAGACTTCAGTTTACTTATCATTCTTTTATTTTGTACACTCAGTTTACTCTCTTGTCCCTTCGAAAAGTAAATAATACAGGGATGTTATTACAAAAAAAGCTTTGCGAACATTTTTTTTACTCAGTATCTACTCCAAAAAAATTACTTGGGATTCAATTATAAGTTGGCATCAAACCCAACTGAACTGAATCAAATCAAATCATTGCTGAATTGAATAGAGGTCGTTAAGAATCAAGTCAGAGCTCAGCGTCTTGTTGGAAAATTCAATCCCTTAGCAGCAATAATAAACTTACAACAATAATGATTAAAATACTTGTCATTTTAACGTTAGCTCAGTGCTGTCTCCTCTTATCTGCAGCTTTGTCTCTACTGCATTGAACTGGTGAGTAAACTGTGAAATCTCAGGAGTAATACAAAAATGACATTAAGTCACAAAAGGAAAATCTAAATCTACCTATACCAAAATTCACACATATATTAACCTTTATATTAATCTGCCATCCACTGGAAGCACTAGGAACTCTTAAAAACAACAGGAAAAACGTGAACTTGATAAGCCAACTAAGCTTTGAAAACACTAGACTAAATGTGAAACAACAGCCAGATCATAATAAGCCAGAAGGTAATAATAACACAGACATAAAAAGTACACTCAACACCGACTATTAACTTTAGTGGCAAGAAGTGTACAAGAGGAGCAAAAACAACCCAGGTGGCTCTTTTTAAGTGAAACAACCGACAGGAGCAGCATAAATACACAAAATAGGACTGTGTAATTGGCAAAGTAACATTTGCTCTTTTTGAAGGCTCCACATTAAAACAAAAAACTGTTTACACTGCACTTTCTTTCCCCCATGAACTAGTTTTACTTGTTCATATCACTTTCCTCGCCTCCATTCAATTTTGTAACCTGTCATCAGTATCGATCAGTTCACCTTCTGCGTTATCATCGCCTACCTTTTGTCTGAAATGAGTGCAAATGAGCATCAGACTGTGTTGGATGTTGATACTAAAATGTCATCTAACCGGCCTAATGCAGTATGCAAACCTTAGCCCTGCTGCTCTCTGACAGATCAATTTTCCAGCTTGTACTTTCAGGGTTTTTGAGATGTAAATGTTTCTCTGAGCATTTACATCCACAAACTGTATATCATAATCATACGCTACAACATTATCTTCACAAAGCGTGATGTAATGTCAAAATGGCTGCATGATCCATGGCAACTGAACCCTCATCATAATTTATTTTAGGGCCTCCCCTGATGCTTCAAATGGAGTCGGCTGTGTTCCTGTACATGTTCCTCTTGAAATAACATCTTGTTTCAAAGGCAATCTTCTTTGTTTCCGTTGCGAGGACTCCAGGCGATACTGCGATTCCCTTTGCTCCCACAGGCATGACTCTCCCTGACATTAGACAACTGATGACGTATCATTCATGTTTTAAAATAAAATTTCTCTCTCCTAGAAGCAAAAGCTCTTTCTGCGTGTTGTCGAATCCGGAGTGTATAAGTGTAGACAGAAATAGACAGCCACCCACATATCATTAGGGAGATGGAGAGAGAGGGAGAGAAAGACTCGCTGTGACAGTGTGGGAGACTGAAGCGGGCTGAGGCAAATATGTCGGTCACAGTTTGACACCATATCTTCACGTGTTTTTGAAGCTGTCAGACTCACATACTGTATTTCTGAATAAGTCTTAAGAGTTTGTTTTAACCTACACAAATTCCTGGAGAGTCTGCGCTTAATTTCCTCTGAGGACGAGATAATAATTCAATTTCCCCTGACTTATAACTTGAAACGTGTGTGGGAGGGGTGTGGGCTTTTTTCACTATGTTTCTCTTGTGCTCTAATGGAATTAATGGTGTAGAAGGAGTCCGCCCTCTTGTGGGGCACCAGAAAAAAAAAAAAAAAAGCATGTATTATTTATCTAATTTTGTTCACGGTGCTCTGTTTAACAGGATATTTGCTAAATTGTTGGAAAAAATCTGAAGCTTCCATCTTCTTATCTAACATCTCTGTTTCATGATTCATTGTGTAGGCAGTCTACCTCTTGGCTGCACTCTTTTTATTCCAATGTGTACAAAAGCCCAGGCTTAGCAATAGAAACTGCACTCACTGGCTGCCCGTGTCTATTTTTGATTTAGTTTAAATAACAAAATGCAGGTTAAACCGTCCTGACAGCAGCTGTTATTTCCAAGATAATGCAAATATTTTAAATCCTCCCTCTCTGTTTGGCTAATCTTTCTCTTGTGCTTTGACTCTGTGCTTTTTAGGAAGCTGCTGAATGTAAAAATCATCGACGATGAAGAGTATGAGAAGAACAAAACTTTCACGATTGTACTGGAGGAGCCCATACTGCTGGAGGTCGGACAGAGACACGGTGAGCCGAGGACACAGCTGCCGCGTGATTTCCCTCGTTATTTTGTGGTTTGAACACATTTACATTGCACCCACTCTCCCTTATATTTTATTTATGTTAATGGGCTCACACAGTTTGCACGTGTTATTACAAATCCCTCACAACTCTAGAGCTAATCCAAGGTCAGAGCTGTGATCTCAGTCCCTGGAATATTTTCATCGCCAGGCTGGCAGTTGCATCTTAAAACATTTTGGGTTGAAGTAGTCAGAAAGGGGAGATCCGTTTTGCAGTATTTGTTCACTCCCACTAAACAGCAGCATGTTAGTAATAACGCCACAATAATCACTGATTTCAGTGCAACAATATTGGAAACATAATGCATTTCCGATGTGGGACCATTTGAGAAGAGTACTTAGTGATCAGTGTATTTACTTAATTTATTTGAGTTTAAGCTAGGGTGACCATATGTCCTCTTTTACCTGTACATGTCCTCTTTTGGGGGGCTGTCTGGCCTGAGTTTCTAAAATCCTTCACATGTCCAGGGTTCCGTATGGAAGCCCGTTTCCGCCAGTAAAAAAATAGATGAGATATTTTTTGAATGAGGCCTGGTTGAGTGTCTTTTGGGGAATTCTGAATATGTGTTTTACTGAGGTAGAAGTGTGTAAAAAACACTCGACCCAACCTGAAAAACCCTAAAAATCTTGCGCACACGCTCCATCCCACGTAGTAGTGTCCTCTTTTTGGGGATCAGAATATGGTCACCCTAGTTTAAGCAAAGAAATATATGTTTATTTATTTAATAATTTTGTTCAAAACAAGCAGGCTCACAACAGCTACAAATAATCAGGTTAAAGGTGGGGTAGGCAGGATTCCGTTAAAGAAGCATCTTTTGTTGTGGGGTATATACAAAAAAGCTTTTATATCAGTGAGTAGCTAATAGTTATTGATGACATTTGGGAATATAATGATATCGCTGTGTTCTGTTATGTCTATGTAGTCAACGTTTTTAATTTTTTGAGCGTCCTGCTCTTTCTGTCTGTAAACAAAGCTGTTCTCCACCTTCCCAACCTGATTGGTTGTTAGGCAGATGCTGCTCCCCCGTGTCGTTCACGAGCCCAAAGTTATCTGCTAGAATATCAGACAGTAGAAACCAACAGGAAAGTACAAAAAATTGTCTGAATCCTCCGTTGGCCACGACTGCTAACACAAGCAAAAAAAGTGAAGTAAATACCGGAAACTCTGGCGGAATAACGAGTGCTTAAAAAGGAGGTAGACTGGACAAGAGCTAAAAAGCCAGGTCAACATGAAGCAAGCATAAACGATGGGGGACGGTTCGGGATCTTACGGACCCTGTAACTTTTTTGCTGGACAGGTAAACCGCTTTAACAAAGTAAGCCAAGTGTCTGTAACAGAAGTGTTTCTTGTCAAATGGGACCTGCTGCATGTTGTAGCGCCGCTAAACTGTTTATCTCTGGTCCTGGACTATGTCACTTCATCCTAGTTGTAGAAGTCCTGCAAACATTGTGTTTACTGGTAGTCAGTTGGCATCTACAGTAGCACCAATGCTTTTTTACTTTAACGTTGACTGGGCCCCATTTGTAGTAATCTGAAGTATGTATCTGCATTATAACTGGATTTAATTACAGTGATACAAGCGAGCACGAGCGTCTGTTTGTGGGCGGGGCTTGCTGGAGCAGAGAGGAAGGGTAGAGAAGGAGATGATGGGAAAACTGGTTGGTAGGGGTAGAGTTTACATTCAAGATTTCTCCCAAAAACTGGCACTACCTCATATCCTGTCTACCCCACCTTTAACTTATATCAGTGACAAAATAACAAAACTGGCTCTGTTAATGGAGTATATAGAACCTTGTAGATACATACACAGTTGGATACAAGAGTATATGTTTCTTTAAACTGGGAAGTCTATGCATTTGCTTTATGCCCAAAATTTTGGCAGAAATGTTTTTGTTTTATTGTATATTACATAAAATATTTATGGTTGTAAAACACTTTTATTGAGTAACCTCGCTGGCTTATTTTCATTGACTTGCATATTTTAGTCCTCCTTTGGGTTTCTGTAAGACTACCTGATATTTATCAGGCAGAACTTGGAAGTTTAAGTTAAGTGTCCCATTCCCAGTAAATCTGTTTAGCGATTTTGTCACGGATCATAGTGTCACCTGAAGCATCGATTTTTACCTAATTCTCATGCAAATGGTGCACATAAAGAACTAGGTTTCATTATCAGCAGACACACTATCTTGAAGCCCATGTGGTGAGCGTTGACTGATAGTCTGCACACCTGTGCCTCTTTGCCGCAGGAGACACCAATGATAACAAGACAGCAGTGGGACCGGAGGATGTGTCAAAAATGGGCTGCCCCTGTCTGGGTGAGCACACCAAGCTGGAGGTGGTTATTGAGGAGTCGTACGAGTTCAAGGTAACTAAAAATAAGCAGCTCTTTCACCTCACAGCAGCACTCATCTGTCAAACACTTTCTGTGTCTTGGAGCCCCTTACAATAATGAATGCCTTTATTTAGCTTTTTTTTTTTAAAGATTTAACTGCCCCCTCTCTACTAAATATACACATCATGGCAGTTCTTTCTGGCTGGTGCCAAATAACACATTGATAATTAATGACATTTCTAATCGATACCACTTCTGTCACAATATTTTAGGTATGATTGATGGAGATACATTTTTAATCTCACTAGGAGTGGGAGATAAATTATTAGTGATGTGGATGTAAGTAATGGCTCTGTCAGGGGAGTCATTCAGTCGTCATTTCATACTGCTTGAATGACCAAATGAGATCAGAGAAGTGTAACATTTAACCGCACTGCAGCCTTAAAGAGGTACTCCATCACTTTAATAACGAAGCAATGAATTTTGGGAATCTGGGGATTTTGCAATAGAGACATGACATATAATTATACAGTAAATACAGAAAATGGACACAGGAGAGTCTGATATATTCTGATAAAAGACTCAAAAAGACCCAAAGATCTTATATCTCCCACATATACAGCCTGTCTTAACTACTGTCTTATATGTTCAATCTGAAACCGAGATGAACTTTGAGATATCAGAGGAGACTTGTTTTAAGACTGAATTACGCAGCAGCTTCCAGGCCTCTTTTTGTCACCCAGGAGACCTCGGTTAGTGCTAACATAATGTCATATAAACCCGATTCTAAATCCCTGACCCAAAGTCAGTCCAGCCGTGACCGTCTCGGATTTGAAAAGGATTATTGCTTGAAAAAAATAATAGATCACTTGCTACGATGTTGTATACTTGTCATGTCTAGTTTTGTATCGGTGTCCCTCACCCTTTTTCACTGAAGGTGTGTTGGCTGTGTGAGCTGCTTTATTTTTATATATCGTATTTTGTATATGTAAAAACTTAATTTCAGACCCAGTTAGTCCATGTCATACAAAAAAAAAAAAAAAATGCCAAAAAAAAACTAAACAGAAGATACAAAAATTAAGAAATTCCTGAAAATTAAAACACAAAGTGACATTTGTTATAGCGCTTCCAGAAGCAAGAGGATACTTTGTGTTCATGGGGTTGTTATGAATGAAGTCACTTACAAAGCTCTTCTTCTAGTCTCTGCCTTAAGTTTCCTGAAAAAACAATTAATCATGCATGCTTCAGGTGCGCCATCTCATAATCAATTCTCAGGTTACATGTGATATATTCTTTCCATGTGATCCCCCTCTTCTTCTCTTTCTCTCACTTTGTGCCCCCTTTCTGTTTGCACACAGATGTTGTTACATCTATTTGCATTAATTTAACACCTATTTTAATGAGAAGGAGATAGTTTTTGTTGAGATGAACCCCAAAACCTGCAAAACCCCCAAAAGAATCCCTATATGAAAAATATATATTAAGTATAGTCATGAAGGCTTTAGGTACATTGTTTTAATGATTGAATTACACCAGGGTACAGGAATATACAGTATCTTCATAACTTAAATAAATCCACCTTAACTTTTGGTCTCACACAGGCCTCTAACCTCTGCTCAATCTCTTTGGTGAAGGTCTGGTCGTGTGTGTGGTTGACTCTTTCATTGCCTCTATCACCCCCAGCTCTGTCACTCTTCCCACAATATCACCCCTGTCCCTTCAAATATCTGAGTTACAAGCAGCTGTGTAATGTTTGTAATCCTTAATTTTGAAACTAGAAATGAAACTCTCAATTTCTTGGAATCGAGTATTTTGTTTGTCAGTATTTTGTAAACTGTAATAAGAGTGGGTGCTGTGCCATCAATGTGGTTACAAATCTCCTGTAATCACCACACTAGTTATTATTTACAGCCTGTTCTTAAGTTGTCATCTTCTTGTAATTCAGTTTTTCTTCAGCTTTAAACTTCATTACATGCTCATTTAGTCCATTTTTAGCTGCAACATATTTTAAAAAATGTGATGTTACTTCATGGCCCATTGCATGTTGGGCCGTAGTTGCCATCTTTCAAAGAGAGCCAGCGCTGATCCCATAATCCAGCTAGGTTTAGGGACAGACAGACTATAATATGTTCACTGTAGTGTAGAGGAACTTCACTTAAAAACCAGCCATATGGAGTTATATCATTGTTTTAAGAAAACAAGACTTCAGACATAGAAAATAAATAAAGAAAAATATTTATTTCATTAAGATGAGCTTTGTGTTTTGTCTGCTCTGCGCCACATAAGGGTCACTTTACCTTTGTGAGTACACCTGCGCTGAAATTTTCTAGCTTGTGAGCTTGCGGGTCCTGCACCCATTTACTGCCCATGAGCAGCAAAAGAAATATAATTTTTCAACTCTTACAAAGTGTTTGCACTCAGTCCAAAAATACAGTAATTCATTATCATCCTTCAGTTTCTTCATTTATTGCCCTCTTGATTGACCATAACCCACCAAACAATGCAACATCCAGTAAAGCTTAGCTTGCAGCTTAATGGACGTCATCTTTATATTCTCTACTGCAGTGATATCCTTGCAGCGTCAGTGAGATAAATCATTTTTTCACTGTAATGAAGTGGATTTATGCTGGCTTTAAGCTGTTTTCCTGAGGGATAGGGGTTCTATGCTACTGCTGCATTTTTTGGTCACTTACTGTAAACCACAGCGGGAGACGAGATGTTGCAAATCGCACCTTAAGAGACAACATCGATGCGCCAATTCTCACATGACAAGATTACACTGAAACTGATCTGGTACCTTTAAACACAACAGAAAAGTATCACTGTTGTGTCTGTTTTTTCTCTCTCTTTTTTTTTTTGTCTTTCCCACGGTCCGTAGAGCACAGTGGACAAGCTGATTAAGAAGACAAACCTGGCTCTGGTGGTGGGGAGCAGCAGCTGGAGAGAGCAGTTTGTTAGTGCTGTCACTGTCAGTGCAGGTGAGTCGCAGCGTGTCTCAAATGTCTCATCTGTTCTGCCCTCTGTGACCGGACCTGAGGACCGGGCCTGCAGACGAGTCTGACCCACCAGCTGCTTCTAACCAACCTCTCTATCTTGCTAGGTTGTTTTTTTTTCACTTTTTATTTAACTTTTAATAAACTCCCAGATGCCCCAGTTTGACTCTGGTTGAATTTTTAATAAGCCAAATTTAAGGGATTATCAATGTAGGGGCTTACAAAACAAAGCCTGTTTAAATATATTTTGGCAGTTCTGTGCTTGTTTGCTGCTTCTTTTTATTACAGCCAGTTTATTAAAAATGCATGTTGTGGTGGATTCCTCCTGCGGCTCCACATAAAAACTAAACTTTGCAGCTCTATGCCTGGTCAACTAATGGCCCTGAACAATTTATGTAGATCTATGTGGTATGATGAACCCTTTTTATTTTGCCCTTTCAAAAGCCATCCATCTGGCTTTGTGAACCTTTTAGATCTGCAATATGACGCAAAGCAATTGGGCTGAAAGCTGACCGAGACAGCAGAGATGTGTCACTTTATTAATATCCTTTTTTCCTGTTTTTCCATTTCCTCTCAGGGTTAAGTCTCTCTGATTTCATGCACAACTTCAGTTGAAAAAAAAAAAAACATACTCTCCTGCCTGAATAACTTTCACAGTTGGTGTTTCATTTTAATATTCAGAGTTTTAAGCTCCTGTGAGGAACTTTGAGTGTGAGTCAACTTTGGCGCCCCCTGTAGACAAAGCAGTCTTTGGTTACCTTGTCCTCTGCATCAGTGGGTCTCAACTGGTGGGTCCCGACCCAAAAGTGGGTCGCGGACATGTTCTGGATGGGTCACGAACAGCTGGTCAAAAAAGTAAATATTTAATGCGATATTTATTAGACATTTGATTTTTTCTGTATATGCAACTTTAGTAGTTGTCATCCTCATGTTGTCCCCTTCATGTGCTTTGAAATGCACTTTACTCAGTAAAACAAGTGGATTTATGTTAGATAAAAAATAAATTTGCTTGGTTCGAATTCTATAAAAGTGGATAGCAACTGAAGGACCATTGGGAAATGTGAGTCCCAGAGTGAGACCAGTTAAGAACCACTGCTCTATATTCTTTAATCGTATCCTGCTGGCTTTTGACAGTCAAATATATCATTTATTGTGAATGCGTGTGCTGTTTCCTCAGCTGCTGGCTGACACTTAGCCCCTCTCACCAGTTTCAAGCATTAAAAATGAAAGTCTAAGAATAGCTAGTCTTGCTGTTTATGGTCTTGTTTGCTTTTGAATATAATTAAAAAGGCATCAGTATGAAGTTCAGTCAATTCAGTAAATGTAAAAAAAACTCTTGACAGGAGCTTTACAGTAAAAAATTGAAATCCCTGCACATTCATTGAACAGTTAAAGCTGCAGGAAAAAAACAAACAAACTAGATTTTTTGGGGTCTTGAATCAATAATAGTTCACATCCAAAAAGTTTTAGAGTTCAGTTCAAATGGAAGTTTAAAATTCATGTTTAAGTGTAAATAAGCTCTTCTGAGGTTTGTTTTGGATCAGGCATGGTTACACTATTTATCATTTACATAATGCAAATCATTCAGTAAACTGATCTAAACCATATATTTACACAGCAGCTTGTGTTGAGCTGACAAGGCACTAGCTCATCCTAAAGAGACATTATTTTGCACAGTATTCATTGGATGAACAGGGAAACCTCGACTAATTCTGCAAATGTCTACTAACTATGATATGGATAACAAATTATCCTGTAACTCCCAGCTCAGTGACAAATTGAAATGAATAAATTTGCATTTGGCAGAGCTTCTGCTTCTCCTTCTGAATGTGAATCACAGGACTCAAACATTTAAAGCTGGGCCAAGCCGACTGTCACTCTGTTGTTGTGTACAGAAGCAGGCAGGTGCCAATCAAAAAGAGGGAGATGCCAATCAAAGTGTGATTCACACGTCTGGCCTCCTCAGTCTTGAGTTATATTTCAGAGAAGGAGCAGTTGTTGTGACGTATTGTTTTTTTAGAGAACTGAACTTTTTTCACTTGTGTTTTGGGGGTTGCCTCATAAAACCTGAACTTTTAGATTTCACTGGTTATTGACTTTTTCAAGACACATTTTTAAAGGCTTTAACATATTGGTGGATAGTACAGATGAGGCTGACTTGGAATGTTTGATTGAAGCATTTGGCTCAGATTATTTAATTGTTTTTACTCATTTTTGTGATTTATCTTTACTCAAACATCGGGAGGGGCATTTCTAAGATTTTATCCATACCATTATCAATACTGATCCTTCTTGCAAATACCAATGCTTATCAGTACTGTGCTTTAATATTAGTGTATGAATATAAAGATATACCATAAAGTAATAATCAAAAGTAACTTTTTTCCACTGTGAAAACTTAATTTTGTTTGATCTCTTTCCTATATGACTTCTTATGCTGCATCTGATTTCTACTAACCTCTGCAGATGAAGCTGCTGCTGCTGTCTGTAGACTAAACTGGAACACTACCATGCAGAACTAAAAAGCAAAGCCACCTGGCAACAGTCTCTGAATAACCCCAGGCTTGCTCATAAGCACCAGGCCTTTTACCTGCATTTTGTATTTTGGCTAATCCAGTCTGCAGCACTGCCATTGTAGCCACAGGGACTCAGAGGCTGCACTGAAGATGTATTAGCATTAGCACTAATGACGGCATTAACATTAGTGGTTTTTCCAGTACAGAAAAAACAAAATGGTCTTGATGATTGTTCCTATTAAAAAAACATTTCTGACCTGAGATGTGACTATTAAGCTGGAAAACAACACTTTGCACCTTTTTTTTCAAACACTGGTCAAATTCAGCCAGCTTTATATAACACATAGTTTTGTTTCTTTCTTCTGTCTTTACCAGGTGATGATGATGAAGAAGAAAGCGGCGAGGAACGCTTGCCATCCTGCTTTGATTACATCATGCATTTCCTGACGGTTTTCTGGAAAGTCCTCTTTGCTTTTGTCCCACCCACTGAGTACTGGAACGGCTGGGCCTGCTTCATCGTGTCCATTTCCCTCATCGGGGTTCTGACTGCTGTGACCGGGGACTTGGCCTCCCATTTCGGCTGCACCATCGGCCTCAAAGACTCAGTCACAGCTGTGGTGTTTGTGGCCCTCGGCACCTCTGTTCCAGGTAGGTGTCTACGGTGTCTATGAGCGCTAACAGAGGACTTGCCCTGGGTTTCCTCTGTGGGGTTTGCATGTACAGTAGGAGCAGCTGCTTGGGGAGATGTGTGTAACCTCTTCCTCTGCCTTTTCTGTCAGAGTAATTCTCTGCAGAGCTCTTGCCTTGAACATTAACAAGCTGTAAGCAGAGAAAAACAGTGTTTCACTTGCTATTCTTTCTGTGCTGCATAATTGTATCCATGCTGCGCCATGTCCTAAACACTGCCATTCAGAGGCACAAATGAGGACATGAAAATAAGGCTTTGAGGGGTCGTAGCCCAATAAACCCCCATGTGGGTTAGAAGACTAATTATGCAGGCCTCTCCATGAATAAGTACAAGGGAAATCGACAAGACGATAGACTGTAACATGCAGTAGCTGTACATGCATCTATTTTAAGTTAAATTTAGTTTGCAGACACATGCAAGACGTGAGCACCTATCTACAGTTTGGATTTTCTCATACCAAGTTGGTCCTTATACCAGGTTTGTAAATTCTTGTTCTATTTTAATCTGTAAAAGTTGCTTGAAGATAAGTGCTGCACACATTCACCACCCTCAACACTCTACTTTTAAGAAGTTTTATTTGATGTCGGTCTTGGACAAAGAGGTAAATCTTATATCCATGCTGATCTTTCCCCTTATCATGCAATTGTGCAACTCAAGAAGACTTCCTACTGTCTGACAAATGTTCTTCTTTCTGTAAATCTTTTCCACTGAAAGTGTAGACTGAAGCACATTTAACATTGGCTACTAATCATTTTGTCTGACGCTGAATTAGGAAGCAGAGACACGCGCCATTAAAAATAACTATTTTGTTCTGGCTGTGCTCTGCTCTGGCTGATGGTCTAGTTTGCTTTATCACATCAAATCAAGGCATGGTTCTTAATTTGTTTCTGTTTTAAAGCGAATTGAACAAGAGCCGTAACACATCATTTACTATTGCTTTGTAGAAGTCATTTGTAAGAGTAATGTTCATTTGGCCATGACCCAAAATCTCCTTTTGGCAGATGTTTATCCTCCTCCACAATAGATTTCTCCTTTAAACTCAGGATGACCTCTCCACTTGACCGCAGCCTTCTGGCAGATGATATGGCAAAAATCCATTCAAAGCCAAAAGCAGCAGTTTGACAGGGAAATGTGCTTTTATTTTCTGGCAGAAAGCTAAATGAATAGATCAATACCACCCTTAAGCTTGTATGCTAAGCTAGTTATGATGCTACCTCAATGAGAGTAAGTTTAGCTTAGCTTAATACTCACAACAAAGGTCTAAAATAGCATTCATCCTTTTTAGCAGGTTAATACAGAGCTGCCAAACGTCACGCTTTGAGTGTGACAGTCGCGCAGTTTGACCCATTCTCACACCATACGCACCTCACGCTTATTTTTCCCCATTCAATACTCTATTTATTATTTTAATGATAATAAACTTGGCTTGCCGTAGTTCGAGTAACTCTGATTGACTGATCAAGATGACCAATCCCAGACCAATCCATCAGTCCTTTGTGCTTAAACCGAACCAACCATGGAAGGCCCCATGCGATACAAACCAATCAGAAGGAATGTAAGGCGGGTCTGGGCATCTGCAACTATCTTTCACACACAACAGCGCCGGCCTTTAAAACCCCTCATCTACCCAATTTTGATCATCTGAAATTATTGCAAATGAGTTCACTTTTTAAGTATTTTTACTAGTTTGATGTCAGCTTAGGACAAATATTGCTATTTTAAGGTAAAAATTGGCATTTAAAAGGGCCAATTTTTTTTTCACCACACACAGGTCAGCGCATCATAATGCTCAAGTCTCACTCTTGTCATTTTTTTTAACCTTGGCAGCCCTGTTGATATTACAAAATTCTTTTTGCCTACAAACTATCTGTGTTGTTTTGGTTACCTTCCTGGCAACACTCTCAAAAATCTCTTTATTAGCCAGCAACACAAATGCAGTTTGACAGCTTCATCAAGCTAACAGCATTTGAAGCTAACTAGCATGTTTCTATCCCAAGCAGCACACAACTTGACCACCAGAACAACAGAAAAAGCTGTTATCTAAACTAATCAGCTGCTGAACATAGTTTCATATTTCACACTTATATGCTCAAAGAGATGTTATAATTGCTTCTATTGATATTTCCTCTTGATAACAAGTTAGAGTATTAACCTTAAGATGATAACATTCCTGCTGTCATGTTGTTGTTTTTTTACGGTAATGTGTTTCAGTTACAGTGAATACTGCCTGTGAACACTGTATAAGAGAGCATGATAAGAACTAACTAAAATGACAGCAACGATGTGTTTTTAAAAAGTAATTGACATGTAATTTAGATTTATAGCTCGGCTCATGTTCTATCTGTTAACATGATGGAGGTGCGCTTTATGCCTTGTACTGGAACTGATCAGGGTGAAAATCATTGCTTTGCAGTCTGTGAACACCTAAGGTGTCCATTTCATTATACAGTCCATGGTTACAGTCTAACCTGCTGAACAACCAGGTAGTTTCAGACGAGGTTTCATTTACTGTCACTAATAGAAAACATTAAAAAATAAACACATTAGCAGTTGATAAATCCTTCGTAGGATCACACAAACTGCAACAAATGTAGTGATCTTGGTTTAGATCAGGTGGGATGTAATTAAAAACATTATAGCTAATAATCATCATTGGATTATAAAACATCTAAGTTCCATATCTCTGACTTATATTATTTTACATTTTTGCAGCCCAGAGTGAAATTTGAAAATTTAATTTACTTTTGCATAGTTACAAAAAAGTTAGCTTTTTTCTCGTAGTTGTGGCTTTCAAGGGAGAGTTGAGATCATTTTGACTTCTTAACTCAACTTTTTTTTTTCATAGTTAATTCATATCTCTTCTTTTTCGACAGATACATTTGCCAGCAAAGTTGCTGCCATCCAGGACCAGTACGCTGATGCCTCCATCGGCAACGTGACAGGCAGCAATGCAGTGAACGTCTTCCTGGGCATTGGTGTGGCGTGGACCATCGCCTCTGTTTTCTGGCATACCAAAGGCAAGAAGTTCAAGGTGGACCCCGGCTCCCTGGCTTTTTCTGTCACCCTCTTCACCATCATGGCGCTGGTATGTGTGCTGGTGCTGCTCTACCGCCGGCGCCCCAGCGTATCCGGCGGAGAGCTAGGGGGCCCACGGACACCCAAGCTCCTCACTTTCTTCATGTTCCTCTCCCTCTGGTTCATCTACATCCTGCTGTCCTCACTGGAGGCGTACTGCCACGTGCCTGGCTTCTGAGACTGGGGGAGACACACACAGACCAGCTCTTTTCCTTGTTTTTACAATCTTCTGATGTGTTTCTCTCAGTTTTTTGTCTATTTTCACAAAAGTTTATATCGATTTGTATCATTAGTTATTACTGATACCGCACAATATCTGATTGACTTTGAATCTTTGGACTTTTGCTACCACCCTGTTTGCTGTGAAGTACAGCTTAAGCCACTGAAATTAACCCCTCCTCTTTTGTGAAACATTTTATTCCTCAGACATTTATCAAATCATTTCAATCAGCATTAATGACATGAAACTTTTAGTCCTTTTTTCTGGAATCATGTCCCCTCTCTGTGTGGACATTTATTTCAGTTTTGAAGTGTTAAGTTAGTGTCAGAAAAGTTTTTTGCAGGGTGTTTTATGGTAGAAAATTACAGATGGTGCATGGGGTGACATTATACTTGACATTCACATATAAGGAAAGACTTAATTGAGGCTGAAGTGACTCGTAAAAGCATATTTGTGTGGTGATATTTATTAATCAAGCTATACATTAATTATTCATTGTATATCATGTAAAAGATGAACATCATGCGTGGGAATCTTGTGGAAGAGTAGGCGTGTTTTTTTTATTTTTGCACGTTATCAGAATAAGAGTTTCTTGGTAATCTATTTTAAAGTACTGTATGTAATATTTTGACATGGCTGTTGACGTGTTGATGTGTTCCTGTACATGTGAAACACAGCTGTATCATAATCTTTTCACTGCCTGGTCCCCTTTCCCCACAAAGCTGTTTACTCAATGACATGTCATGTCCGGGTTCAAAATGCCTTTTTTAACAACATAAACCGACCTGGAGCAGATTCCCCGCTTTTAGTTTTACAGCTTCGTTAAGAACATTAATGATTTTTGGCTGAGTGTGTGCGTGTGTGCGTGCGTGTGTGCGTGCGTGTGTGCGTGCTTCTCTGCTCTACGGCACAAGTTGGCGAAAAGCTTGGCGCTATCTGGCCACTGTTAACACAAAGGGTGTTCATGACAAACGAAAAGTGCAGCCTGAGAGTCTGTCGCGCTGACACTGTGAACATTTTTCCACATCATCACTTTAAGAAAAAGCACAGATTTTCTTTTCAGACTGTTGAGGGAGTTTTTAGATCTCGATCATAGCACAACCACCAAGAAGCTCCATTATTCGGGATGAGAAAATTTGCCAAAAAAGAAGACATGTACAGTACTTCCTGAAAGTGTCTCCTTGTGTTGCACAGCAGTTGATATTGAAGTTTGGTTTTTCTTTAACTAGAATCTGTAGAGCCATATTTATTGTAAAAGTATTACAGTAAAGGTATTTATATGATCAATTTCAGTTTTATTGATATGCACGTTTAATGTATAAAAAAGTGGAAATAAATGTTGATGATTTATGATGACTTCAGAGGCTTTGCTTGCGTCTTAATTCAACATTTCTACAGAAGAAACTGTTTGTTCTCACAGGCAACTTTCCACTATAAGGGGTCATCCAATTTGTTGTCAACAAAGCTAACAGTGGCAATCGGGATCTTAATTAAAGCTTCAAGCAGCATGGAGCAGGCCCTCACAGTCACAGAGTTTGTTGCTGCTGTGGTGCTTTCCAGGAAGGAGGATCACTGAAAATGGTTATGAGGCTGTATGTTTTTAAGTCAGCACGGAGTGTGAACGTATGTGCCTCTCTAGAGCTCTTTTAGCCGTGCTTAAACCTGAAGTTTTTTGAGTCAGCCATGCCCAAAGCTCCTCTTTCTGCTCGAATAGGAGAGGATTTAAGAGAAAGTAGGAAAACTTGGGGAGCCACAGGTGAGGACACAAGATATCAGCCTTGGTGAAGGTCGTACCTGTAGTCTGATTATCACTCAGTGTTTGGATGCTGCTGTAAAAACACTTTCCCCGTTTGGGATATGCAGAGTGGATATGGTTTATAGCATCAACAGTAAGAGAGCTGCTCTGATCAGGTCAGAAATATAAAGTCTGTGGTGTAGAGGGGTTTTCAGAATCTCACACTCACACACACACACACATATGCACACTGCCGCCCCAGCTCTGCAGAAAAATGGCCTCTGGCAGTGATGGATTATTACATGATCAGATTATTAATACTGATCCATCAGCTCAGAAGCAAGTACAATTAAAATATTGTAGCTGGTTGGAGCTGTTTCAGCTTCTGCACACAGCCAATTGTTGGGTCCCATGGTTCCCAGCCTGTGGGTCAGACCCCTTATAAGGGTCACAAATGGAGTCATGAGGTCTTGAGATAATTAATGAGGGTTAGAAAAAAGAAAAAAACAACACCAGTTTGTGTTCAATCTTTGACCCTTTAGCAGATGATTTGGATAATTTGACCGCCGTAGCCTTCAAACAGTTTCTCATTTGAGACAATATTGGAAATTTAACAGGAAAATACTGTTTTGTGGAATTACTAACAACACAGTGGAGGTTCATTTTCAAGTTAATGTGTTTGGGTTTTGATGCTCACACTGAAAAAGGTGTAATTATCAAGACACCACGTAAAACAACAGGAGGGAAGATGATCATATTGGTAGAAATTAACTTTGTTTCCCTCTCTTTTGTGAATTTTTACTTTAATTGAGCAACAGACATAATAATCTTAAAAATGATGACACCTAAAGTGCATATAAAAACTCAAGAGGCCAACGAAGACACAACTTATCGGTGGAGTTTTAAAGATAGAGAGGTCATAAAGGGGTCATAAACCAATCAATTTTATATCTACAGCAAACAAAGCTTTGTGCAAACTCATTAATGTTAATGGCATTTTGAGTCTCTTCTTTTCCCCTCAAAACAGTTCAAAGGCTCATCTAGTATTAATGCATTTTAAAATCAACTCATGTCCAGAATTGTCAAGGTTTCTGTGCCTGCACAGACTCTGTCTTCAGCCTCTAGTTTGATTATGTTCGTATTTGAGATGTTTTTTCTTCACCAGAGACCCTCTGAGCGCTTCACATTGGATACATCGTTCATTCGCCCACACAGTCACTTCCTGGTGGTGGTAAAATACCTTAGTAGTCACAGCTTCCCTGGGAAAGACTGACAGAAACGTGGCTGCGGCCTCTCCGACCGCCACCACACAACACTCACAATCATACACCAGTGGAGGACACACACTGGGAGCAAGGTGGGTTAGGTGTCTTGCCCAAGGACACAACAGACAGACTTGGGATAGGGGGGAATCAAACTGCCAACCTTCCAGTTATTGGATGACCGCGCTACCTCCTGAGCTACTGCTGCCCCGCTATCTGGGAGCAGTTGCTTTGAGTCAGATCTTAAAGATAATTTTTCAGCATCATGTTCGGTCAGATGAATGTACTGAAAGACAAGCAATGAGCTTTACTCTGTTATTCAAACCCAGCTGTGTTCAACACTTCATTCTGATCGGTCAAAACCAGATAGCATTTGTAAAATTAATTCACAAAAGAAAAAGGCGGTGTTATAATGTGATCACAAACGTCATAGCAAATCAAGGTGTGTAAAAGGGGTCTGCTCACCTTAACACCATTCTTATTTGTGTAATCACCGGCACTGTAAAAAGCCCTTCAATCAAACTTTTAAGGTTTGTTTCTGCCAATAAATAATTTTTCTTTCCTTTTGTTTCTAGTTAAGTTTAACATAATCAAAAACTGGCCATATTTTTGTATCTCAATCATAAGTTGTTGTTCTTATTTATTTCATCCTCCATCATAAAATTCATTCTTTTCAACTTCTAAATGGCTCGATTTCACCAAACTTAGCTAAAAACTGTATTAAAAGTAAAAATCGAGGCCCGCCCCCATGCAGCAACACAGGGCTTGAAAAGGCATGTTCCTACATTGAACTTGCATCTGACCAAAGCTACCACATCTGTCCTGGAGTGGAGGGACACTGATGAACAGCTCAGGTGAGTAACCATTTTCAGTGTTCAGTTAGTTTTTTTTTTTTCCAAAAGGGAATGATTTTATTTCACCATCTGTTGCAAAGACACTGCTCGGTTTTCTTGTGTATCTCAATTGTGTCAAACATTTAATCTAACAAACAAAGACATATGCTTCTTGTGTTTGTGGGCTTTTGTAAACAATATACACAATGTCCTTATACATTAATTTATCAAAAATGTCAAACTTCAGGCTCACCAGTTGAGCCACCCTCATGTCTGAATACTGGAGTAATGTAAACCTAAAAATCACAAGCTAGTGGAAAAGGGCCCTTAATAGACCTGAAATAAAAGCTTAGTTTGTCTTTGAGTGTTTTTTTTCTGTCTATGACTTTTCAAAGTAAAGAAAAAATCCCCTGAATAAATAATACCAAAGAAAAAAAGACAGAATGCAGAAATTAAGTCAGCACCTTACAGTAATGTACTGGGAATTTAATGAACATGAATAAGTAAGTCCTGCACGTACACTGCTGTGGGGGTAAGCACAGATGGCACAGACAGTGAGTTCTAATCCTTGCAGGGGCCTTCCTGTGTAGAGCTTTGAGTCCTGGGTCCTCGCAACGGGGTCCCAAGCAAGCATCTGAATCCCTTTAATCTTCCAGAAAGCAGAAAAGCCTGGATAAGTAATTTTTATACAGTGTCACAGTCGCACTGATGTCTAACAATTTGTAGATCCTGGGTTCAAATCTCAGCAGTGCCAAACTCATATAGGACTAGATGAATGAAAATAGGATAAACCTAAATAAATAAATGCACCAAAGCACCTTAGCGTGGTGGTTAAACCAAATACTCATGACAAGTAGGGATTTTTGATTTCAAAGCAGTTACCGCTAAGTCAGTGGTGCAGAGAGAAAGCCAGCAGCCTCTCAGTGCAAAGATTCAGGGTTCAAATCTAGAACAAGTGCTTTCCATAAGAGGAAGGAGTGAAAGGTTTTACTCACACTGCAGTCTAAACCCGGCTTTTGAGAAACTATAACAAACCAGTGAAATGAAGAGAATTACAGAAGCGAATCCTCACAGGTGGACCCGTGATGTGGTGGTTGGGGCGGTCACCACCTTTCCTCACTCTGTAGTAAGTGCTGTGTTTTTGTGCAGCCATCAAGAATGGCTGAAATGAAACACCCAAAAAGGGCTGACAATGGAAGGCCGGCCTGTGGAGTAGGGGCTATGGCTGCTGCCTTTGGGTCTAATGGTCCTGGGTTTGAATCTGGAGCAGAGACAGAACTAGGTTGGAGAAGGGACAGTGAAAGGTTAAAGCAGGGGCGGGCAGGGATGAAGAGGAAGGAAAAAGGGATAATAAAACATCAACAAAAATGTTGAGTGGGCAGAGAGGGTGAAAATCCATTTGCTTGTGCAAACTAAGGTGACCATACGTCCTCTTTTACCCGGACATGTCCTCTTTTTGGGGGGCTGTCCGGGCTTGTACAGCTTTGTCCGGGGAAGTTTATAAAATCCTTCAAATGCCTGCAGTTTTGTACGGAAGTTTCGAGTTTGTGTCACGTGGACTTATTGAGTTAGAAGCGCGTAAAAGACACTCGATCCAACCCGAAAACTCTCAAAATTAACTTTGCGTGACTCCGTGACTCTGTCCCCGCGTAGTCGTGTCCTTTTTTTGGGAAGTTAGAATCTGGTCACCCTAGTTCAAACGTTTCTCACTGTGTTTTTTGATTTTTAATTTCTCCTGTCTACACGGCTGCTGATCAATCCATGTGCCCTGTACTGTTATTAATGATGCTTGCTTTTGATATCCAACGTCTTTAAATGATTTTGTAGTGATTTAACTCGTTTAGATTAGCGTCTTTAGCCCTTCCACAGCTGGAAAAAGTTTAAAAAGTATAAAAAAATGTTTTTAAAGTTTGTTGTGTGAATGTCATCATTTTCCCCCCTACTGATTACAAAGTTTCTTCATAATTGGACTTTTTATCATTAAAAGAGAATGGGTTCAAGCACAGTAAATTGAAAATGAAACCCCCACTGTGGCAGAAGAGTCTTAATATCTTTGTAAGCACCTGCACATAGGTAGGATTACCTTTGCTCTAGTTTGAAAAAGGGGAATTTTATTTTAAGGTTTAAGAAGTGGTACCAGTTCAGCTCTCCCTGACATGGTTTTTATTTAAGGTCACTCTTACTGTTAATGAACACTGTTCTGAATGAAAATGGTGGGAGTGGATACGGCCAGGTCCTTCAGGAGCTACTGTGTGAGTTCAGTGCGTCTCAACCCTTGTGTTCTGCGTTTTGTTGCACGCTCTACCGCTCTACATTTTCCTTGAGGGAATAGAGGAGAGGGTAGAGACAGATAAAAGAGAGAAAAAAGATGATGTATGGTTTTGTTTTACATTTGTGTTGACATCCTCATCCAGATCCGCTAACTTGTTTTAGCTGGTTTGTCTGACATCTCCTTCACCGTCTTTCACCAGCCCTGCCCTAATACTCCCACTTCTCCCAGTAATGAGACAGCCCTTCATGGTACGAACACACTA